TCCTAGGGTGGCCATAATGAATTACCTTACACAGGGTGGCTTAAAACAACAGAAATGTATTCTTTCACCCCCTGGAGGCCAGCAGAAGGAAGCTACCTTATCTCTTTCTAGCATCTGGTGGTTGCCTGCAATTCTTGGCATTCCTTGGTGTATGAACAAATCACTCCAAGCTCTGCCTCCACAGTTGCATGGTGTTCGCCCTCTGTCTTCTGCGTATGTCTCCGAATCTGTCTCTCCTCATAAAGAGAGCAGTCATTGCATGAGGGTCCATTCTAATCAGTGTAATCTCATCTTCCCTTGATTATATCTACAAAGGTACTTTTCAAATAAGGTCACACTCACAGGTACTGGGGGTTGGGACTGAACACCTCTTGTTGAGAGGTACTATTCAACTAAAAACTGAGGCCATGGCAGGAAATTGCAGGTCTGAGAGAGGAACAATAGAGGAACGAGATCAGAAGCGCACAAAAGCACTAGAAGGAAGCCAAGAGAAGGGAAACAGCCATACACGTGAGCCTTCTCAGTGCCACCAAAGGCAGGAGGGCATGTCCCTTTTGAAGGTGGAGGCAGGAGACGAGAAATCATTATCCCTACATGGTTAGCCTTAAAAAAGAAAGCTTGGGTTTTTAATAGCTGTTTTGACATTTCCATCTGTAATGGCACTAACCAATGATGACTGATTTTGCTTGATGGTGGTTCAGGTACTCTCCCCCCTCTTGTGACAGAGGGCAAGATGTGGTCTTCTCCTCTAGTTATATGTGAAAGACACCATCCTACTGTTGCCAACTGCAGCACCCTTTCTGAGGCTGTCAGTATTCCCAAGCTGTTTCAGATACTGGGGGGAAGTACGGGGTAGTATGAAGAGAAAAAGAACATACCAGGGTCCTCAGTGGGTTTTAGCTAACCCCAACTCTAAGGCAGAAGCCTGACTTAGAGCATCCTTGGGAACCTAGCCTTTGCTTAACTACCTTGTGTGGTAGGGAGCTGACTACCTTTCAAACCTGCACATTTCATCTTTGAATCACTCTGATTTTAAGAAGTTTTAGACCATTTGGACCTAAAATTGAGACTCTGTGGTTTCTCCCTTGTGTCTGGCTCTACTTGCCTTGTGTCTACTCAGAACAACCTTCTCTCCCTTCCCTTTGGCAGTCCTTCCCATAAATGGTCCCCTGGTGTCTCCTCCGCCCCAGGCCAGCCATGCTGCCATCACCTTTGCCTCATACAACATAGTTCTGCATTCCATCATCACCCAGGTGGAAATGTATTTAGAGTGATTTGAGGAGAGGGGTCATGGGTTAGAGAGAAAAAGTAAAATTCTGGTCATCAGAAGTCTCACCCGGTGGAGTAGGGCTTATCTGGTGGTGTATTCATGGCACCATTACTGATTTGAGCTATTTAACCCTGGGTGATTCCCCACTAAAATGTGTATTCATTGGGGCAGGGGTCTGTCCAATGCTGAATGACAGAATAAGTGAATGAGTGAATGGGATAGACCTGGCAATCTCTATCTACAGATTTTGAGTTGGTGATTATTAATCCTACTCCTAGCCTCCTTTACTTTGTTTTACTTTGCTTCATTTTATTGGGTCTCAATTTCTTGAACTTTTAGATTCAGAAAAAAAACAACACCCTTTCTCACTTGACTGTTGGGAAGGAAAAGGTTAATCACAAAGTCATCTGTGAATAAAAGACCCTAGCTATTCCACATATTAGAGTTGAGAAACTACATAGGTGTAAATACAGTGCACATACGATGCTATAGCTTTATAGGCTTTTGACACTTTTCCTTGCATGCACACCTTGCACAAGCAGGCAATAAATGTTTGATTGTGGTGACTCAATCATTTATAATAATCACCTGAATTATTAAAACTCACCACTATGTGAGAATCCACCCATTTCCAACAAAGAATTTCCAACTAAGAATGGCAGATAATCACAGGGAGTTCCCTTAATTCAATGACACTCTGCAGAGATGGCCACACTTCTATTTTCACAACTCTCAGCCTTATGCAAACTGCCTTAATGTTCTCAAAGGAGGTGATGTAGGGAATGGGAGAGGAGGAGGGACAGGGCTTCAAGCTTGCCTTAGAACAGTTTTTTGGCCAATGACATATTGTTGATGAAGGAGCAAAAGAAAAATCAAAACAGAAACCCACCCACACTCCTTCTCCCTCCTGACAGATGCGGAGCCCAGAGGCTCAGCAGTACAGAGTTGGATTGCTGAAATCTACTCCAAGGTTTGTTCCTGGGTGTGGGTTTCAGGTCTTGTAACTACATTTGTTCAGACAAGGTAAACCAAGCATTATGCAACACCATGAATGAGAAACACACTCCTTCTGTCACTATTTCGTAGCTGGATAGAGGCTTCCAATCCCCAAATCAATGCACCTTCTTCAGGGGCTAGCTGTTTAGAGAATCTTGACTTCAAAGGGTTCGGGTCTATGAGGAATGGGGATGATTTGACCAGTCTTTCAGAAGCAAGCCTGGTATATTTCCAGTGACGTAAGCAATGATGGAAGTCTGGCTGGGCTGCTTTCCCTAAGGTATGTGGGTGGAATTGCTTCTGCAGTTGGAGGGCAGGAACCTGGGCTGATTCATCTTTGCAACCCCCTCACTAGGGAAGCAGCCAGCACCTTGCTCAACCCTTCATCACTACAATAATCACTCCCCTCCTCAATCTTACTTCAGTCTTCTAAATCTGGGTTCCTGATCTTGCCTCATCAACACCCTCAACAGTTTTCCTCTTGCTCTTCTCACTGCCCAACTATTCATCTGGGTTCTCACCTACACTGCTCATTTGGTGGGAAAAAAATGTTTGTTCAGCTGTGCCAAGCCAGTACCCCCACTGACTACTGGGCATCAGTCTTGCAGCAATATCTCAGTTGCTCTATATGTAGGATGGGAATTATGATTCTCATTATTATCCCCATTAACCAGATAAGAAAACTGAGACCCACTTAGTTCTTTGAGTATTAGAATAATCTGCACTTTACTTATTTGTCAGCCAGGAGTGGTTGCTGCTAATTAATATTACAATGTCAATGTGATTTTGACTCTCTCGTTGTGGTTTACTTGGTCAAGATTCTTTGAAGCCCTTAGAAGAATGAAAATAGAAACCCAAAGTGTTTGCTTTTTCAAAATCCCTGGGACTGACAAAACTGGAAAAGGAAACTAGGGTGAAGTCTCAAATTACTGCTTGAGCTCTAGAAATGAGAGGGCAGGTTTCTCTAGATCATGTGTTATCATTACTAACATAAAATCCATTTAATTTTACTTCTTGAGTTGGTTTTGTCTTTAAATACTTAGCTCTGGGAGAGAACATCAGAAGTTATTAATTCTATTCCATGTGTCTTTTTCATATTTTCTTTCTAGATATTATGTTCAGAGATTGTAAAGACATACCGCATTTAAGTTGTGAAATTAGAGAAATCGTGTTCTGGTGTATTCCTTCACTAGTATGTGAGCACTGCCTTCTTAAAGCCTTACTAGCTACTATAGGGCTCATCACCAATTCCTTGGTAGCATCCCAAAGTTCAGTCCAATTAAGTAGGAACCAGCAGTGAGGTGCAGCACGCAGAGGAATTGGCCAGGGAATTCAGAAATGAGTGAGTGGTACAGTTCCAAATCTGCCTGCTGCTAACTTGCTATGGCTGACTTCTAGCTAGTCCACTTCAGTGTCTTTTGCACAAGAAAGGAATGGTCTACTCTTGCCATTCAGTCTGGCCTATGGACCAGTAACATCGATCACCAGGAAACTTTCTAGAAAAGGAGAACTGGTGCTCTCTTCACCCCAGACCTAATGAATCAAAATATTCCTGTTAAGGGGATTCATGAGATTCATGTGCACATTAAGTTTTGAGAAGCACTAAATTTGAGAGATAGCTTCTTGATCCTATGGTTTCTTTTATTTCTATTGTTCTTTTTTAACTGACAAAAATTGTATACATTTATGACATACGGCATGTGATAATGTTTCAATATGTTATACACTGTGGAATAGCTAAATCAAGCCAGTTAACATGCATTACCTGGATCCTATGACTTCTAAAATATATGCTAAGGACCCTCATTCCACACTCCCCCAGGAGGTATAGGATAGTGACAAGACTTGGGTTTGAATCCTGCCACTTCCTGTATTTCATCTATGAGCTGGGCGAACTGCTTCCTTCTCTAAGCATCACAATAATAAGGCGGTTCACTGGGTTAATGAAAATGTACTTTACCAGCACATGCATATCTCTAAACTGACTTTTTATATTCGCTTTATAAGGAAATCTAATAATAAAGTGAGGAACAAAAGCCCAGGCACTTAAAAGCGGAACCAGCTCGCTCTTTTCACTTTAACTATAGGAAAATATTAATGAAGTGTTAACTGGAACTTGTAAACATTTTTTATTTGAAACAAAGCAGAAGTCAGACCCTGTTGTCTTTCCCTGCTACATTGGAAATATCCAACTTACCATTCCTCTCGGCCAGACGGGGACTTTTCACCGCAGTTCTCATCTGGAGAATACTAGATTAAAAAACCTATTTAATTGCTGACCTAGACTTCTACAAGGCCACACAAGCTTGGTTGAAAACCAGCACCAGAAAGCTCCCCTCACCTCGCGCCCCAGAAACACACTTCACTCGGGTCTCCACCTCCTCCTGACGAAAACAGGTGGGAGGCGGGGTTAGGCCTGTGAATGTGAACGGACGTTTTTCCAGTTGTCCTAGTTTCCGGCCGGACGCTAAAGACCAACGAACAAGTCAGGAATGTACCATTCTCTTAATTCAATCATTCTATCCCAATCGGGACATTCGTAAGAACAGCTACAGGAAAGTTCTCCCCAAACTTTTGCAGTTATTTTCCATAATGCTTTAAGAGTATAGATGTTAAAAAAATCGTCCTTCAGAAATTCATTTTGTTTTTTCCCCTCCCAACTTCAGACCTGAAGTACTTGGGCTCGCTCATACTCACTTCCTGGAGTAGGACCGTGAAGACCGGAAGCCGCATGCTGTGAGAAGAGAGTTTTTCCCGCAGTGGTGTAGTTATGGGACGGAGGAAAGTGCCTGGTGGTGGGTCACTGGGCCGGGCCCTTATCCGCCATCAAACTCAGTGGAGCCGTAGCCATCGGCACACCGACTCCTGGGTAAGACACACCGTGTCATTTTCTTATTCTTTCTCTCTGGTTTCGAGAGCCTGAGTGCTACAGTATTCGGGGTCAGAAGTCTCGGAGAAATTGTCCGGAAATGACGCCTAAGCAGGATTTTAAAGAATAAGTAGGAGTTTCTGGCAGGCCGAGAATCAGGTCCTCCTTCTAGCAAGGCACCGGGCACAGAAGTAGAAAGAGGCTTGAAAGCAGGACTAGTGTGCTGAGGAGGCTGGGGTGAGAACGAGAAGACCCTGAATAATTTCATTTTCCCTACAAGCCATGGGAGCGCTTGGAAGTTACGAAGCAGGAAAAAGACAAAACATTATTATTATTATTATTATTATTATTATTATTATTATTTATTTGTTCAAAGAATTGATTGGTTGCCAAAGAAGCTGTTGATTGCCACCAGAAATCCAAAGTAACTCAGGTTCCTGCTTGCCCCTTGTTTTTCCCCCTGGTGGTTTAGTTCAAAGATGAACCCTTCATTTCCAGGGTGTGACAGGACCTAATATGTCCCTAGGCCTAGGGAAGATCATAGATCACTTGTATGACTGTGTGTATATAACATCTTTGAGTCACTGTAAAATGTATTTCTTATTGTGGGTCTCTGCAAAAAATTTTGACTAATTGGCTGGCAGAGTCAGTCTGGGTTGAAGTTCTACCTCTTATCACTTAGTTTGCAACTATAGGAAAATTATTTCTCTATTTAAGCGTTAGTTTTCGGATCAGTAATAAGATTCATTTCAAAATATTCTAAAAATTAAATGATGAAGGGGATGTGTCTATCATGAAGTAAGCAAGTGCTTACTTAAATGTTAATCAATAGTATAAATTGTAAAGGTGCTAAACCACCCTCAAGACCACAGAATAGTTGCAGAGAATTTTAGAGCCTGTTGGGATGTTGAGAGAAGAGAGCAGTTTTATTTTCCACTGTGTTTTGTTTATAGTTGCACACAAGTGAGCTCAATGATGGCTATGATTGGGGTCGTCTTAATCTTCAGTCAGTGACTGAGCAGAGCTCCCTTGATGACTTTCTTGCAACTGCAGAACTTGCAGGGACAGAGTTCGTAGCTGGTAAGTTGTTTATTGCTGAGTGTGTGTGATATTCAGCACATTTTCATCTTGCTGACTAGAGAAAAATTAAGCCTATTTGGAGGTGTTAGAGAACCCTCATAAATGTGCTATCTTTAATCAAAGGCATATATCTGTGAAGCAGCATGGGAGAAACCAGTAGAACTTAAGCTGTGAGGTACAGTATGTGTCAGTTTTTAAATTTGGCTCTAAAAACACTTCAGATTGTACTTCATTGTATCAAGTTCAAGAAAATCTCTCAGAAAAAAGACCAGTCACTATTATGGTGGGCAATACCAGTATTTCCCAGAAAATGTTTTCTGATACCATAAAAGTAATTTGACTTTTTGATTTTTCAGTTCTGGGACTAGAACCCAGGGCCTCGTACATTGTAGGCACATGCTGTACCATTAAGCTACATGCCAGCCCTGAATTGTTTGGTTTTTTGTTGTTGTTGTTGTTGTTAGAAACATGGCTCTACTGTGTAGCACAAGCTGGCCTCAAACTCTTGATCCTCCTGAGTGCTGGGATTATAGGCTTGCACCACCACACCTGGCTTTGACTGTATTTTTAAAGCACTAGACAACAACAGTATAGTGAATTTTTCCATTTGCATAATTTGTTTTAGTCAGTGCTCTCCTTGTGTGTGTGTGTGTGTGCTCCAAGCACTTAGAAGAGCACTTGGCACAAAGATAGTACTATAAACTAATATTTCTACTATTATTATTATTATTATAAAGTTATTGTGTTTAGCAAATCATTTAATTGTGCAAAATGCTGTTACTGAACACCTACTCTTGGACATTGTACTGGCTACTCAGAATACAATGTTAAAAGATAAAGTTTGTTTCTTCAAGATTTTGTTTTAGGTTCTATGAAAGGAGTCTGTAGAAAACAATGGAGTCATGAAAGATGGAGTTAGTAATCATCTCTGTCTGAAGGAAGACAGGCCAGTCAGAGAAGGCCATGCCCTGGGCTGAATCTTGATCAGTCACAGAGCCTTATCTGCACAGGCAAAAGACTTGAGGCAAGATGTGAAACTGCAGTCTATTTGTTCTGTGGTTTTGCTGATGTGGGGCGAGGATGCAACAGGCTATGATAAACACAGATGTAGAGGAGTGGGCAAAGGCCAGTCTAGGGAGAATAAGGGTTTAAGGGAGCCTTTGCAGGGCTTCAAACAAGTGAAAAACACTTTCATTTTCTGGTGAATTGGTTTGCTTGGTACCCCCGCCAAACCCCCTCCGCTTTATATAGTTATGGAATACAACATGATGTTTTGTTCTGTGTACATAAAACTGGGAAATGATCACCACTAACAAGCTAGTTATCACCTCACATATTTTTTTGTTTGTGTGGTAAAATCCTGTAATATCTCCTTTTTTTTTTTTGGTGGTACTGGGGCTTGGACTCAGGGCCTCACACTTGCCAGACAGGCACTCTACCACTTGTGCCACTCCACCAGCCCAAGATCTCTTTTAGCAAATTTCAAGTGTGAATTACTAGCTATAGTCACCATGCTGAACATTAGATCTCCAGAGCTTACTCATTCATCCTGCATAAGTGAAACTTTGTACCCTGTTTCCTCCACCCATGGCTCCTGGTAGCTACCGTTCTCTCTGCTTTTATGAGCTCAGTTTTTTTCAGATTCCACACATAATACATCATGCACTGTTTGTCTTTCTGTATCTGGCTTATTTCATTCAGCATATTCTCCAGGTCATCCATGTTGTTGCAAATGTTAAGATTTTCTTTTGTGTATATATATAGTCATCCCTCCATGTCTGAGGGAATTAGTTTCAGAATGGTCCCTGGATACCAAAATCAGCACATACTCAAGTCCCTTATGTAAATTGGTATTGTATTTACATATAGTCTCTACATGTCTTCCTACAAATCATTCCAGGATTACTTATACCTAATACGATAGAAATAGCTGTTATTCTATAATATCTAGCAAATAATGGTAAGGAAAAAATATATACATTTTCAGAACTGATGCAGTGAGGTTTTTTTCCTTTGAATAGTTTCAGAATTTTTGTTGATTTGTGATGCTAGAGATTGAACCTAAGGCATGCTACTCAGTTGCTCTACCACTGAACTACACCCCAGCTCTTGAATATTTTTAATCTGCAATTGGTGACTGAATACCAAATTGTCTTTATCCATTCATCCATCAATAGACACAGGTTGACTCCACATCTATTTGAAGAGCCACCATATTGTTTTCCCTGTGCCAGATTTCTTTCTCTCTCTCTTTTTGTTGTTGTTGTTGTTGTTGTTGGGTTGGGGTATTAGACCCAGGCCCTTGCACATATTAGGCAAGTACTCTACTGCTGAGCTACACCTCCAGCCCCAGATTTCATTTTTTAAAAGATCAGTGATAGATCCTAAGAAAGAAAGGTGAATTAGGAGAGCTGCTTTAGTTAACCAGAAAAACAAGTCAGAGCTGGAGCAGAAGAGTAGAGAAAAGAACAAGAACAAGAACATTGGGGAACTAGAGTAAGTAGACTTGGTGGAGGTGGGTAGAGTCAGTGAGGAGTCAAGAATAAACTCCTGGGTTTCACAGAGAGATGACTCTTCAGTCCTCTAGAATTACTAAAATGAAAAAGACTAAACAAATGTTAGGAAGTTGTGGAGAAATTAGACCTCTATACATATGGGAATGGTGCAGCTACTTTAGAGACATTTTGGCTGTTCCTAGAAAGATAAGACATGGAATAGCCATATGAACCAGCAGTTTCACTCCTGATATACATTCAAGATAATTGGAATCATGTCTATACATGGTCTTCTACATGAGTATACATAGCTGTCTGATTCAGAATAACCAAAAAATGAAGGCACCCAAATCTCCAGCAAGCTAATGAGTGGATAAACAAATGGGGTACGTTTATATAACATGGAGTATTATTAGGCCATAAGTTGGAAGTAAGTTCTGGTACGTTACAGGGTGCATGAGCCTTGAAAACATGTTCAGTGAGAGGCCAGACACAAGAAAACCACATATGATTCCACTTATATGAAAAGTCTGTGTAGACTATGTAGAAAAGATATGTAGGCATACCTATAGGGATAAAATAGATTAGTGGTCCTGAGGATAGAGGGAATAGGAAGTGACTGCTAATGGGTTAGAGTTTCTCTTTGAGGTGATTAAAATGTTCCAAAATTGATAGTGAAAATGGTTGCATAACTCTGTGAATGTACTAAAAAATCATTGAATTATATGCTTTAATAGGTGAGTTATGTGATTGTATCTTGATAAAGCTATTTTTTTAAAAGATGTTAGTGGGCAGGGCATAATGGTACATGCCTGTAATCCTAGCTGGTGGAGATCGGGAGGATTGAGGTTGAAAGTCAGCTGAGGTTAAAAATGAGACCCCATCTCAACCAACAAATTGGGCATAGTGCTGTATAGCTATAATCCCAACTACATGGGAGGCATAGGTAGGAGGATCACAAGCCAGCAAAAACATGAGACTTTATCCAAAAAATAACTAAAAGAAAGACGAGGGAGGGAGGGAGGAAGGAAGAAAAGAAAGAGGAGGGAGAGAAGAAAAGAACTAGGGACATGGCTAAGTGGTAGAGTACCTTCCTACCTAGTGTGAGACCCTGAGATCAAACCCTAGTACTACCAAAAAAAAAAAAGTCCTTAGTTTTTGCCAGAACCATTTTAGCTGTGTTTATTGCAAAGAAGCATATGTGAATATATGTAAGAAGGATTAAGATTAATGTTAGTATACTCATAGATTATGAGGAGATTGAAAAAAACAGCATTTGGTTTGGCAGAATCTGAGAAATTTGAACTGCATATCCTGTGATCCAGCATTTCCACTTCTCTGTGTGCTTCAGAGTGGTGGTTCTCAAACACTGTGAGCAGAGAACTTGGTAATACACATATTTCTGGGTGCTTCTAGAAGGCTCTGATTCAATGAGTGAGGGTTGGGGTCTAGAATTTACATTTTCAACAAGATTCGTTTTAAGTATGAAAACTTGGAAATTTAATATTCCCATAGCAAGGAAAATGGCTCAAATAAACTTGTAGTATAGTCATACTGTGAAATACTCTGCAGTAGTTAAAGAGGATGGATTAACTGGATTAATTCTGGATACTAATGTGAAGGATCTCCAAGATCCATTGTTTGGTGAAAAGATCAATTTGCAGAATGGTGCATAGAGTGTGGTGCCATTTGCATTATATCAGACCAAGCCATAAATGTATATGAATATTAGAAAAAAGACTTGGAAGGCTATGCACTTTTGAGAACCTCAGAGAGGGAGCTGGAATTGCAGGAGCAGGGAAAAGGTTAGAGTTTGGTCAAAGAATGCTTATAATATTGTTGCATTTTTTAAGTAAGAGTTTAGGTATAATTGTATAATTAAAAGTTCATTTTTGAAACCTTAAATTAATGAAGAACTGGAGCAGAGTTTTAGTCTGGAAAGAGTTGGGATTAGAAGGTGGTTGAAGCAGAGTTGAAAAGATTAGTTCATGCAAGAGAAGGTGTGCAGCTTCCTCTGAGGATGAAGAAAGCTGAAGGGAGTGCACTCATGCAGAAGTGGGGGGTGACAGGTGCATTCCCAGTAGCTTCCATTTTTCTCATGCTAGATGAAAGGTTATCTTCTGGGAAAGAAAGTAGACAGAGGAGAAGTAGGAAGCTTAAAAAGTAGTTGTTACCATTTGGGGGGGGGAGCAAAATCTATGAACATAGAAGAATTTCTTTCTATGGGAAGTGCTGAGGGTCTAGCTGACTTTGGAGCCTGTGCATTTCTGTGGCATGTAGCTGCATTAATTTTGTCATTCCCTACAGCAGCACACACAGCATTGCTAGTGAAATGAGAAAAAATAGGTATACACAGGTATAAGGAATTTGACAGTTTGGTTAGAAAGTGGTTGGAGGGGTATGCCATGGAGTTGCAGCTAACTAGGAACAGAAGTGAAGCTACAAGGTGTTAGATGAGCTGGGATAAAGGGGATGAATCAAGGCTCCAAAGTATTTACAGAAGGGGGACAGAGCCAAACAGGAATGGTGGGTGGGAGGTCACCATTGGAAGAAGTTAATATAAAAGAAGCATTGAGCGTGGGGCAAGAAGGGGACGTGTTTTGACTGTTGGTTGAAGGTGACGACACAGATGAGAACTGTGGCTGGGTTGACTGCTCCAGGTTACTGGACTGCAAGGTCCTACACGGTATCTTGGTGGTCCGATGAGGTGAGTAGCAGGCTGCATTCATTGCCTAAAGGTGTCGAGGAATGTTGCTAAGCTGTTCTGTTATCTTTGAAATAGAACCTTCCCTTGGCATTTCAGGAGGAAGTTTAGCTGGCTTCTCTTCTTGTGTGCTTATCTCCAGAAAGGTCACCACTGCCCATGAGACTAGGTGGTGGCTGTTTGAGGTGAAATAGGAGAGGCTGGAGTAGCTCAAGAAGTAGAGCCCAAAGGTCTGGGAGTGTGCCTCAAGTGGTAGAGCACCTGCATAGCAAGTGTGAGGTCCTTAGTTCAATCCCCAGTCCCACCAAAAAAAAAAAAAAAAGTGGGGCTCCAGAGCAGAGGTTTCTCTACTTCATATAGACTTTTTAAAAAAATTTTTTTCTTGATAACAGTCTCATGGTGAGTATTCATTATAAATGTCTTATATGAAGTATAGTGTTATAGTAGTTCACCAGTTCTGTTTAGTAAGTCTTTGCCTCCTCATCAACTCCCATTGGCTTAAAATTATTCTGTATATTTAAAAAAATCTAGGAGACTGGCTAACTTCTATTTTAGGTTTTTATAGAGTTTTCCAAGCTTAGCAAAATGACCAGCATGCTCAATGCTCTGTGTTGACTCTTGCACTTTTCTTTTTTGTGAACAGAGAAGCTTAATATTAGGTTTGTGCTCCCTGAAGCTAGAACGGGGCTGCTGTCTTTTGAGGAGAGTCAGAGAATTAAGAAACTCCATGAAGAAAACAGACAGTTCTTGTGTATACCCAGGAGGTGAGTTGAACAGGATTTTGCTCATTACATGTCACAAAGGGCCACTGAGATGAAATTTTAAAGCTGTTCACATTTTTCCTGCTTCCTTTTATCTGTTGCTATTATTATATCTAATTCTGAGTTCCCTGTTTTATTTCGGTGACTTACATATGGAATTTTGCCCTTCTATGATTGTTTCAGACCCAACTGGGACAAAACAACTAGTCCAGAAGAACTCAAGCAGGCAGAGAAAGATAACTTCCTAAACTGGAGGCGTCAACTTGTCCGGTGAGTGTTAGACTCTAAGCATTTGCCATGAAATTCTGAGTTCAGGCATTTTGGAGTACTTGCATTGCCATTTGCCTTTTGAAGCCTTGATTCCTGTTAAAGGAAGATGGTAGCGTTTACTCACAAGTGTGTAATAATACATATACAAGCACAGCATTGCTGGGTGTGTTGTGCATCTGCATACAAAGATGCATGCTTACTCTGTTCAGTTCCTGCCCTTTTCTCCTTTCATTTGCTTCTCCAGCCATCAGGTATTCTACATATGACCATGGCTCTCCTTGGCACTCTTTCTGTAAGAGCTGTGTGAAAGAGAAACTTCCAAGACTTAAACAGCTTAAGGATAAAACTTGAATTTGCTGGAGTATAATGTGAATAAATTTTATGTTATATTGACTCAGCAAGAGGTATATAAAAGATGAGAGTGTGGCTCCATGGTAGAGTGCTTGCCTAGCTTGTGCAAAACCTTGTTTGATTCCCAGCACTGCAAAAAAAAAAAAGTATATAAAAATAATTTGACAATATTTGCATACTTTTCAGCTCAGTGAATTTGAGCCCTAATGTTATTTTGTTGCATAATCTGGAAAAGATATAAACTTCTCATTCTAAAGCCAGGCTAGAAGAGGAACAGAAGTTGATTTTGACTCCATTTGAACGAAATTTGGACTTTTGGCGCCAGCTCTGGAGGGTCATTGAGAGAAGGTGAGCAACAGTTTTCTCTTGCATAATGTAGACATTGTAGTAGTGTTACTAGATTTGTCATGGAGGAGGACAGGTAGGAACCTCATCCTGCTCACCTTTGAATTCCTCTGGGTCTGTTTTTTTTCCTTTGAGTTGGGGTCTCACTATATAGCCCAAGCTATCCTTAAAATCAGCCTGCCTCAGCCTTTGGAATGCTGTAGTGTGCCACTACATCTGGGATTTTATTAGACTTGAATGTAGATATATGTGTATGAACTCTGGATCTGGGGAAAGTGGTATTAAGTTATTGAGAATTATTTTAAAAAATGAAAGTATGATATTCTATTTCTTTATAAATGTTTTTTTGGGACTGTGGGTGTGGCTTACCCTCCCCCCGCAGCAAGCCTCCAGTTTAAACTAGAGTTCAAACTCTAGTACTGTCCTTCCTCCCCCAAAATTGTGTTCTTTTTATTAAATGAGTATAGTAAATGTTTTCTGTAATGTGAATTCTCAGGTACCTGTAGGTACTTTAGCAAATGTATATTGAGTTCCTAATGTTTATATGGAAAATGGGGTATGAAGAACATGCATGTTACAGGGAGAGAGGTGTCAGCTGATTTCAGCAATCTTCTGTGAAGTTCAACTAACTGCCAAGCGAAGTGCCATACACCAGGGGTATGCAGATGAATGAAGTAAAATCCAAGAACTCAATACCTGGTAAAATACAACAGGGAGTATGGCTCCTACTCTGTCACATATAGAAAGGCAGTGAATATGTCATTTCAGAGTAAGGGGATATTATTAAGGATTGGGAGAAATCAAGGTGTAATTTAAAAAAAAAAAAAAAGGTCTTGCTATGTATATAACCCAGACTGGTTGAACTCGTTATTTATCCCAGGCTGAACTTGTGATCCTCCTGCCTCAGCCTCCAAAGTGCTTGGATGCCAGGCATATAGGCATATGTCTGTAATTTCAGCACTCAAATCATTTTGTTAAGTTGGGAATAGGAGATTTTTGCTCTTTCAATGTAACACTGAAGAGAATTCCTGATTATTAGAAGTTGACAAATCAGTTTTCTCTTATTTCGCCTCTTTATGTTTAGTATAGTTATAAGGTCTTTGTTTTCCTCAGAGAGTTTCTGAATTATTTTTTAAGGATCCCTTATGTTTGAGTTGTTCCCTTTCTTTTTTTTTTCTGAGCCAGGGTCTCACTGTGTAGCCCAGGCTGGCCTCCCAGATTCTGGGGACATTATATTTGAAATGATGCTTTTTGCTATACACAGTGGTTCATGCCTATAGCCTGTATAATCCCAGCTACTAGGGATGTGGAGATTGGAGGAGTGAGTTTCAAGGCTGGACAAAAAAGCCAGGCATGGAGGCCAGCCCGGCCAAAAATTGCAAGACCCTATTTTAAGAAATGATGTTTTTTAACAAGGAATCTTCAGACTGGGGTTTTTTGTTTGTTTGTTTGTTTTTTGTTTTTTGATCCACAAAATGTACATAGAAAGAACATTAGGAAACAAGATGCTTTAATTAGGATCTCAGGAAAGAATATTACCACATTTAGCATTGTTACCAAGAAAACAGGCCTTAAATTAAACTTGCAAAAAATCACTTATGTTCTTTTTAAGGTAAGGAAAATGTTCTACAATTAGATAGTGCTGATGATTGCACAAAGTTGTGAATGTACTTAAAACCACTGAATTGGATATTAAAATGGAGTGAATTTTATGATATGTGAATTCTGTCTGTCTCAATTTTTTTTTTAAAGTCAGTTACACCCCATCCCACCCCACCCCCATTCCTCAGAAGCACAGAGAATGCTAATGAGCTAGGATGTGGGAAGATCAGAGTAGATTGCAGGCTCCATGCCGGCCCCTCCATTCAGTTAGGCTTATAGAGGTTGGGAAGGCCCAGTATCATTCTGGGGAGCTTCTGTCTAGCAGAATGGACTCAAAGCTGTTGAGGGTCTGTAGTGTGAATGCCTGTTTTCTTACTTCGAAGGAGAAATGGTAACAAGCTCTGCCGCACTGTACCCTCAAGCCTGAGAGAAGGCCCCATCCACATACTTACAGTTTGGTTTTGTTTTAGATTTTCTCCTACTTCCTGTATTGTTTATCTCTATTCCTTTTTCTATTTATTCTGGTTTTTGGCTTCAATATAAGAGGCTTCCTTAAATGTTTAGTGATATTTGTTGTCTGTTCATATTTAAGTGTGAAAGGGCTGAGAGTATGGCTCTACTGGTAGAGCAAGAGGTAGCAAGTACAGGTCCTGAACTCAGTACCCCAGTACCATGCCAAAAAGAAAAGGATGGAGGCATGTCTCAAGTGGTAAAGCAGTTGCTTGGCAAGCTCAAGGCCTTGAGTTCAAACCGCATTACTGAAAAAAGAAAGTAGGTAGGTAGAGTTTGCCAAGTGGTGAACTTCTCTGTAGGGTAGCTGGGCTAGGATCAATTATATTTTGTTGGAATAGGCCATGATGTTAGTGTTGCAGGTCTTTGTCCCTAGGGCCAGTCAGTTTCTTAAAGCAAAGAATGATCTGGGAATGAGGCCAACCAGAATGGTGTATGATCTGGGATGGTAGGGGTTGGAAGAGAGCTTCCCAATTCAGTATGTAGACTTACATTTAATCCTTTTTACCTATGATCCCTCTTCCCCACCTTCTCCCATGCCTGATGTTCTGCTTTCAGGTTCTTTTTCTCCACAATAAACCCTGGGATGGAAGAATGAAGCAAGCAAAGGAATGGGGAGAGGGGAGTTTGTACTTGCCTGGCTGAATTGGCCAGCAGAACTGACCTAGGAGCTCACAGATTTCAGTCCTATGTCTCACTTTTGCTTTGACACAGCTGTTATTTCTGACCCTGTGCTTTCCTGTGGCCTTGGGTTATGGCCAAGCTCACTTGTTGATTTGATGTTTCCTTTTTTTTTTTCCTTTTTTTGGCAGTACTGGGGTTTGAACTCAGGGCCTCATGCTTGCTAGGCAGGCACTCTACCACTTGAGCCATTCCACCAGCCCTGTTTTGTGTTGGGTATTTTCGAGATAATGGTTTCACAAACTATTTGCATGGGCTGGCTTCAAACCACGATCTTCCTGATCTCTGTCTCCTGAGTAGCTAGGATTATAGACATGGATCACCAGCGCCTGGCTGGTTTGACATTCCTTAGTTGCTGTTATTCTTTCTTTCTCTTTGCTTTGATGAGTCTCATCTTTTCATTTTTGTCGGTTTTAATAGAGATACATTGTGCAGTCTTCCATGATCAACAGGAAGGCCCTTTATACACTTTTGCCTCTAAATTAGCAACTGATTTCCCAGAGTGAGCATGTATTTGTTGAAACCTCTAACTTCAACTAGATTATAGTACTTGTTCTATTATTTTTATTATGTCATATTTCTCTTTTTAAATAAAAGAATATGTTTCTAACTAAATGGAATATCGTCATTATCACATGGAGATAGATTAGCATTAGACAGAAATGTCATTAATAAAGTGACTACTACCATACATCTTTAGCAGGAAATATTTATTGATGTCTTCTCTGTAGCAGATGTCTCCTGTTTGCTAACAGGCTAGCCAAGCCATCTGCCTTTTTGATTTCAGTAGGAGTTACCAGAAAAGATAGGATGTATAATGTGCCATTGAAATGCAGGAAACTGCTGAGGCACTGGGGGTAGAATGCTGTATTCCAGTAAGATAAGGCACTTCCACTGTGTTGCCTAAACACTTCCTGCTACATGTTTGGCACTTTGCATCCTAATCTGGTATGTGAAGCAAGCTAGTTTCAAATGTCTTTTTCTCCTTTGGTAGTACTGAGGTTTGACTCAGGGCCTCACACAGATGTTCTACCACTTGAGCCACACAACTAAATGTCTTCTTTCTGGTGTTCCAAAGCTCTTTATTACTTTTGTGTGTTTCGTAGATAGATGCAGTATTTGTGGGCTCTGTGGTTTTAGCTTATTAAACTACTTAGCTACTTATTAGATTACTTAGCCACTTATTAGACTTGGTCAGGTTTTTTTTTTTTGCAGTCATTCAGCTTCATTCGGTTTAAAAGTGAGATGTTACATTAAGAAAGGAAATACGGGACCAGCTTAAACACAGAACTTAAAAACAAGTTATCAGCCAGGTGCTGGTGGCTCAAGATTGTAATCCTAGCTACTTGAGAGGCTGAATCCAGAGACTCAAGGTTCCAGGACAGCCCAGGCAAATAGTTCATGAGACCCTATCTCTAAAAATAAGCAGAGCAAAATGGATGGAGGTATGACTCAAGTGTTAGAGCACCTGCTTTGCAAATGCAAAGCCCTGAGTTCAAACCCCAGTCCCTGCCCAAAAAAAAAAAAAAAAAAAATTTGTCAGGCTGGCTCAAGTGTTAGAGTACCTGCCTTGCAAGTGGAAGCCCTGACTTCAAACCCCAGTACTGCCCCCCTCCCAGAAAATTTTTTAAAAAGAATCATCTGCCATACTTACAAAAGGTCCAAGTTGTGTAGCCACATAGATTAGACAATAGATTAAGTTTTTTTTAAATGTCAAAAAATTACCAACTCTGAATTCCTCTCAATCATAGCTATCCTAGAAGAAAATATACTTTCAGTTGTCAAAAGCCCTGCCTTCAATGGCAACTTGATCCTTAGTGTTCAATATAGTTGCAAAGAGTTACGTCAGAAAAGGCTGGTTAGCCCAGTTATGATTCAGGGAGTCTGTTGTAAGGGTGGCGAGACACTGTAGTTTCTCTCTTTCCAGTGGCAATCAAAGCTAGCCCTTGTGCCATCTTCCCAGCCACTGAGGCTAAGGAGAAAAACACTACAGTGTTGCAGTGGTATGCTGGGCTGTGGTGGTCCCCATGATATTTGTGAGAGATTAAAGGGGCTTGCTATCAGCTGAGAGAGCGATCTTATTCCCACGTCTTCTTATGTGTGATGGAAGAAGTTAGAATCATCATTCGTGCTTCAGTGTGACAACTTGAGCTGATAACTTTCATATCAACTTTTGTATTTTTGCCATTTAAACACTTTCTTGGAACTGTGGATGTTTGTTTGTTAGGTAAAAGCTCTCTTTGGCATTCCTGGGTTTAAACAAGATACTGGCTTCTATAATGGCAGCTGTCAGCAAGTGATTTATTTTCTTTGGGGCCTTAATACAAGTATAGATTAGGGACTGAATATTTAGTAGACTTCACTGAAGTGAAGTATTTGGAATACTCTTTTATCTTGCCAATGAAATGCTGCCATCTGAGCCCCTCTAGGTTCTATTAGAGCAGCAGAATGTTACAGATGAGAGTACCTCTTGTCCTGACTGCCTGGGTTTCCATTCTGGCTCCATTACTTATTAGCTGACCTTGGGCAGATTACATACTTCCCTAAGCCTCGGTTTTCTCATGGGAGTAATTGTATCTTAAAAAGTTAATATATATCAAGTGCTTAGTATATGGAGAGTGTTTGCTACTATTATAATAAGTATAGAGTAAGTCATCCCTTACTTCACAACGACTGGATTGTCTCACTTTTTTTTCCAGTGATATTGTGGTACAGATAGTAGATGCTCGAAACCCACTCCTGTTCAGATGTGAAGATTTGGTAAGTAAAGTTTTACTTATATCTTTGAAGCAGCAAAGAGAGGACAGCATCAGTCACAGCAGTAACTGTAAGGCAAGCATTCTGTCCTCTCTAGCTTTGTTTAATTAGGCCTCCCTCTCCTCCCAAGGTCGAGAGCTTGCATAATGCCATTGTTTAGACAGATGTTTTCTCGAACAGTTGTTTCCATCTGCAGGAAGACACTTGCATGAGCTTTCTAGCTTATACTTTAGAATCCACTTTATTTCTAGTCCCTTGCCAGTTTACCATTTTTCAAGATGCACCAGTCAAAATAGCACTTTTGAATCCATCTCATTAGGTTCTCTCTCCTAACAGCTTACTTATTATTCCTGTAGTATTTTGCAAATGAACTAAGTTTATAAAACATCTCTGGGTAATACTAAGATATAAGGATAGCATGAAAAAATGTAATACTTTGTGTGTGTGTGTGTGTGTGTGTGTGTGTGTGTGTGTGTGTGTGTGACTGGAGTTTGAACTCAGGGACTCAATGTGAAAGTTCTTTTCAAAGCATTAATTAGTAAAATGTGCCAAGACTGTAGAACCTTAAATTAGAACTCGAGGCAGTAACTTTTATTGGAGCTCCTCGGTGTTAGTTGGCCTAATTTTTTACCTGTTTGAAGAGACCTCTCTAAGTGTTTTTGTCTTGCATAGGAATGTTACGTGAAAGAGATTGATGTCAATAAGGAGAACGTTATTCTGATAAATAAGGCAGACTTGTTGACTGCTGAGCAGCGCAGCGTCTGGGCCACATACTTTGAGAAAGAAGATGTAAAGGTTATTTTCTGGTCAGCGTTGGCTGAAACCATTCAACTGAATGCTGACTCTAAGGTAACCTCCAGGGAACTTTTTCAGGGTAACTTTCAAGGAAAAGCAAGCTCTCACCTCCAACTCAGTGAAGGAATTCCTTCCTCCAGCTCCCTGTCAGACACTTAGGTTATCTCTATGTGACTACTTTGAACAGAGGATGTGGCTCAGTGATAGAGTGCTTGCTAACATGCACAAGGCCTTGGTTTTTGTCCCCAGCACTGGGGACGGGGTGAGGGGGGAATGGTATCTGTGATTACTGTAAAAGACAAGGCCCTTAAGACCCGGGAGCTCATTCGTTATCCCTAAATTCAGAAAGTTCTTCCCTTCACTGAAGCTAAATTAATCCCTCAGTCTTTGAACTGAGGGCTTGTCCTTTGTCCTCTTGGCTTCCTTTTGTACCAGACTGCACATTTTCTACTGCCAGATTTCTTGTAGACATCATCTCCAGGGCCCTCATCCTGAGAACTGTCTATGTTAGGATTATGGTTAAAATTGGCAGCACCTAATTGAATACATTATTCCAGGTGTTGTTTGCCTGGGGCATAAACAGAAAGACCCGAATTTCTTGTGATTAGGATACTCCCCTTAATTTGACCCTCTGTTAATTCATCCTCTTTCAGGAGCTCTATTACGCTGTTGGCTGATTAACCATGCACAACCAAATCCCTCAAATATTTAAAAAGAAAAAGACTTATTAGCAGATCTCCTTCCATTTTTACTTATGGAAAATTGGTTTTGTTTTTACCTCAACTTGGGATAGTAATGTTAATGGGTTAGTATCAAAGTAGAGTTCATTATTTTAATGTAAAGTTTGGTTTTTTTCTTCTTTGAGCTTTGAATCATCTGTATATTTTGTGTGCTTGCCCTTCTATATATGTGTATAAGTCACTGATAACTTACTGAACATGCTAGAACCAGAGATAGGACCCCTGTGATCTTTTGTGAACATTTTTTTTTTTAGTTTTTATTTTTTTATTATTCATATGTGCATATAATGCTTGGGTCATTTCTCCCCCCTGCCTCTACCCCCTCCCTTACCACCCACACTGCCCCCTCCCTCTCCCCGCTACCCCCTCGATACCCAGCAGAAACTATTTTGCCCTTATCTCTAATTATTGTGGACTTTTTAAGCACTCTGAACCAATATAAATATATTCACAAGAATAAACAAATCTGATACAATTAAAAACTTACTCTCTACCAGGGACTTCTGTTGTAAACACTTTATATATTTTATTTATTTAATCTTCTTAGGAATAAGATAGGTATTTATTATCCTCAGGCAGTCGGGCTCCATAATTTGTCCCTTTAACCATTGCTCCAGTTTGAAGCTTGTCCTGGAAGTCAATGTCTTAAAGAAGTGTTTAAATAAATATATATCCCTACAATGTTCTGTCCTGATAAACTAAGCCAGTATTCAATCAGCAATGGAGAAAAGATTAGTTTCTGTATCATTGACCATCCTCAATCTGAACAAGTAGTAGATTCCAAAGGGAAATGGAATTGTTTGCATGATATGTTCTTAGGAAAGCCTGATTGTCTTATGTTTAGAGCTCACCAGCAAGCATGTAAATTGTTTCAGTGTCAGTTTCTGGGTTAATAGTGCTTAGCTTATGGAAGATACTGTTTTCTTCCTTTTTAGGAGGCACCACTGTTCTCCATGATTTCTCAGGTTGTGATTTCATATATACAAGCATGTCTGATAAGGAAACACATGTGAACTTATTTAAA